AGACGCCAGTAATTCGTAGTACTCGCGCTAATTAGAATCCGTGGCCGTGGATGGCGTTTTAGGTCGCGTCGGTTACCGTGTCGACCACGCGCTTGATATAGGCGTAGTTGTCGCGAGCGGTTACACGAACCGCGAGAGGCGTGAATTGGTCGACTCGGGTGGGAAAAATTAGCCAGGTCGCTGTTAAAAACCCCCGTTTTCCAACGCGAGTCACGATGCGAGAGATCGGTCCGTTGCTGTCGCGATTTATCATCGTTGAACGAGGGACGTGGCTGGACGGAGGAGCGATAAATAAACGTATCGGAGCGACGAGGGAAGAAAGGTTGGCTGGATCACGCGATAGGGGAATCTCTTAATCGAAGGAGCGATCGACTTTTTTCTCTTCTTCCGATAAAATCGCAACGATGCCGAAGGTAGGAAACGCGGCGATCGCGTGCCCGATGGAAAAGCCTAAATGGAAAGAGGACCCGCGGTGAATCGAAAAGTGGAGGGGCATGGTAATGATATTTGTAGTCTGGTGGTCGCAGATTTGAATAATGGGCCCGCATAATGGATGGTGCGACGAGTACATATTGCCTCTGGCCGCGTGAACCACGTCGCACTGAACTCGGATAAAACGGATAAGGGCTGTGCCATTTTGAACGGACAATTCGATTCGGCGCTAATTTCGCTCCTCTACGGTTCACCGAACGCGCGCATCGCAGTCGCTCGAGTCCCCTTAAATTTGCTCGTCTATTTTTCCCTTTCGCGGTAAATACCAATTTCTCGTTACTTTTCGCTCGCTCGCGCGAAACGCGTCAGGCCAATTCATCGTTTGTCCGAAGCGTCCGCGATGTCTGGTTAGGATTAAGTCGAAATTACGCAAGGAACGATGGAAACGCGCAAACCTCTTTAACGATACGCCTGCGGACATTCGCGGAATTAAGACTGCCGCCATTTTTACGAGGTCGTAGTCTATGCGTCGTAAAATTTATCTTCCGTCGCAAATACCCTCTTCTTTCGTTTCGTTTCCATATCGAACCATCTACTTCTTAACGGCGTCAATAGTCTTTTCAAAGTTGAACGGAATCTTATGCCCCGGTTCGGTTACTACCCGACACTTTTATCGGTTTCATTGGTAATCTCGCTTCTCGTCTCTTTTCATCCGACCTTCGTGGCTTTTCTTTCAATTTTTTTTTTTTATATAACCTTCTGGATACGAGACTCGCCCCGTTCCCCATCCAATCGTTCGTTCGCTCGCTCGCTCGGCAGGAGAACCGAAAATATCTATGGAGATCGATCGATCGTGCGAATACGTAGTCGGATCTCTATCCGACCACTCCCGAATGCTCGTCGAATCCATCGAATATTCCTAACGATAATTCTCGTCTGCTCGCCTACCCGTTTTATTTCCACCTTCGCGTGATTCTATTCGAAAGAGCGGGAACTTGCAGCGGAATCGCTTTCTCGCTTTTTGCCGCGTATTTTCTCGGCGCAACCCTCCGTCTTACGGCTCGTTGACTCATACCACTTCCGCATCCTGTCGGCTCTGTTACACCTCGTTAGACTTAAAAACATCGACCTCGAGAGCGCCGTTTTATCGCGGCGAGATGACTCGCGAAGCTCGCAGAGTCGACCAGATTACGGCATCGATGTACGACGAGCGTGTCGTTGTATCCCGCATCGCGTCGCGACCCTGAAAATTTCCGAATAATATCTATACGTCGGGAGTATGTTTCGTTGTAACCAACGCGGAGCAAGTTACGAGAGGGATCCGTCGGAGTTTGCGTTCGTCGGATGTTCATTGTGCGACTCCGTAATCAGACTTGGAAGTTGGAGTCAAAGAGAAACGTGGATCTCGGATAGAGGAAACTCGCGGTGAGGGATTAGGTAATTTCTGTCGTGAAAGTGGCACGCATACAGGCGGCCTCGGCTAGTATAATAGAGACATTGATAGAGATTGGTTACCGCGTGAGCTATGTCGGCCGAGCGGCTCATTTCCTTATGGGCTTTAGTCTCAGATGTTCCCGTGACGTGCCATCGGATAGGACTAGCGGCCGATTGCGAGTAATTTATTACGCATTAGGGAGACAACTCAATGACGATTGAATACGCGCCGCGTCTTCCTCTCTGCCGACCTCTTCTTCCACTTTCGCGCGTAATTCGCGCGAATTCGGCCAATCGCGGATTCGATTGCATTCGGTGCCAATAATCCGGCGAAATATTTGAAACATTTTTTCCACGGGGAAAGAACGATGGCCTAAATCCAGATGGTAATATTCGTCTCTCGCTCATGAATCTACAGATATATTTATACGCGCGATCAATTCGAGCTGCAGCCCACTCGAACCGGGTCGAGTTTAAAATGGATCCACGGATAACCCTGCAATCAAATATTGAAAAAATTCATGCCCGAATTTTCGTTTCGATCGCGACACTTGCGATCCGCTATCCTACTCGAGCCGCGTAAGAAACGCGTCTTCCGCGATATTAAGCGGAGATTAAACGAAGGTTTACTTTGGATTATTAAATTTCGGATTAATTGTCCAAGACGGACCGGGGAACGTAATTAAATTCGGGGCTGGCTTCTAAGGATTGCCTTCCGGTGAAACACGATGATGTAAACGGAAAATTGCCTAGCAATGGGAACGCGGGAACGCGAGGCAAAGTCTGAAATCGTAATAATGCTGCAAAATGTTTCACGGCAAGAACGAGGTTTGCCCAGTGTCATTGTGCTCGTGTTGATCCCGCGGTGGAATTGCCCATAACGTTGTTTTCTTAGATAATGCTCGAGTAATTGGGCGAGAGTATAATGGTATGCGGAACGGAGCGCGTATGTGCGTATTCACCACTCCATGTACTCGACGAGAGCAAAGACAGACGGTTCGACCCGAGAATTGGAATTTCGCGGGAAACGTGTTATACAACGATACACTACGTACCTATGCCGAGCTGTCCGGCTTCGTTACAGTTTGCTTGCTCCCATTTGCATCTTTGATATTTCGCGTTAATGGGCATTCACGATTGCAGACATATCGCTTTCATTCCTATAAGAATTAGCAGACAAACCGAGTCCTCGGTGATTCGGGGCAAGCGAATAATTCAATTTCGCGTTAGTAAGTACCCGCATGGGAGTTCAATCGGAATGTCATTAGAAAGGAACGGGGGTTGCGAGTAACCAAGATTCCGAGAAACTTTTTCTCCCTCTTGTCGTCCTCCTTCCTTCCAGAGTTCTACTTCCGATTGCGCGGCAATTATACTTCCTCCTCCAGAAGCACGCTTCGATTTCGATCGTTGTCCCTTTCCTTCTTCTCGTTCCCGTGAACGCGAAATCATTTTTCCGACGGTCGTTCTCCTTCTCGATTATTCGTTATTTTCGAAAGGGAACAAACGAGGGGCGCATCCGAGCAACGCGCGGAACATGTCCTGTATAGGGTATCTTATTATTCCTCCGCCTCTTTCTCCACTTTTATCCGTGTTCGTATCAATTTTATCCCGATCGATGTAGAAAAGGAAGAAAAAAAAAATAGTCAAGAGATGCGAGACATGTGCGGCATTGGGAATACTCATGGCGAATCGATGCAGACGCGTGTAGCCTCGATTATTCATATTTTCCTTTTCCTTTTTCTCCTTTTTATCGCCGTTTTCATTTATTCCTCCGAACTACGGTCCGCAATCTTTCCCGCATTCTTCCTTCCGGCCGTTCGTCCGAGATTTCCCGGTATCGATACCGAAATAGGATCCATCAGCCAGGCCTGCCGCGCGGAGATACACGCGTATCCTACGTAAGTAGCTTTCTCGGTGTTTACGAATTGGTTGCAGCGAGAAAAATCGAAGCACGATATGCTTAGACGGGGGCACCTGCAATAAATGTTTCTTCCATGCTCTCTCGCGGGAAACTTTTTCTCCCCCGAATAATAAATTTCCTTCTCGCTCGAGCGCTGCTTTTCTTTACCTTATTTCCTCGCTTCTCGATAATTTTCGCCTGTGTAAGCTATTTGACGCGCGTGTGCCCGCGCCAGAGTCATCGTCGAGGCTCCAATTACCTGCGCGGAATGACGCGCGTGTATTGCTGCGTTTCGTAAAGGAGATCGCTTCGAGATCGCTTCGAGATCGCTTCGAGATCGTTTCGAGATCGTTTCGAGATCGTTTCGAGATCACTCGAGGCCGAGATGATCGGGGATTCCGCGATCAGGCGGAACTTCTTCCGGCACGGGAAATGAAAGCGGACAACGAGAGGAAAGGAAGAAAATAGACGTGGGCAGACGAGAGGTATGGAAAGCGAACTATGGAAATGCGAAGTACAGCCGACCGACGAGGAATCTTCGTCACGGCGCTCGAATAACGAATATCTACGCCAACCTACGGCATTAATAGGAAGCAACTTTTCACTTTAAGCGGATGCGAAAACTTTCGAAACCGTTAATGTCTCGTCACCGACAGATTTTTGCATTTTTCGCGTCCCACCGTGGAAAATAAAAGACGCCTGGTTTCTCGTTGGAGTAAGGCATTCTTTAATCGGGACGAAACTCGGTGAAACGTTTGATTGCTTAGTCAATCGGACGCGTTTTATCGAAATAAAATTTAATCGCGATTGTTACAATGAAATATTCCGCCAATTAATGCGCGTGATTTATTGATATCTGCGAGTAAACATTTTTGGCCATATATGTGTCCGCGGAATTATTACATAAAATATGCGAACACGTAGGGCGATAACAAATAAATACGTATGTTGGGGAATGTTGCGTTTGATGCTCTGCGTTCAATGGCAATTTGTAAAGATGCATTCGCACGATAAATGGCCAACGTTGATTGCAAGGTTAACGAAACACCTGTGATCCGTGAAAGAATTTATTCGCCGCGAGATGTACTACGATAATCAGTGCTGCGTCGTGAGGTAGATAAATCGAGTAAACTAAAGGAAATGAAGTTAAACGCAAATATTAGGTATAACATATTTATTACAGCTTATTGTCGTATTTGTTTGTACAGATAGCACGTTAGCGCTGTTGTCCGCCTTAAATTAACTCCTGGCTTATCATCTGCTTTATTTCCGTTTTGGAAACCTTCCCCGTGTTGGTACACGGAATGTTCTTCACGAATTTTATGCCGCCCATTTTGTAGAAATATGGTAAATTATTCTCGCAGTAGGTCATTAATTCTGCTTCCGTTATCTAAGATGTTCGATTCGATGGAAAAGAACCAGGTTAGCACGTGTTTCTCTGTTCAAATAGTTATTTATCTCTCTGCAATGCGATAAATACCTCTTTGCCCGGCAACGGGATCACAACGGCAAACGGAAGATCTCCCTCGACGTCTGCGGGTATCGGTACCACCACGCTTTGGTACACCGCCGGGTGCATGTCAAGAACAGCCTCTATCTCCGAAACCGATAAACAGCATTCTTTGTATTTGATAAATTCAGAGAGTCTGCCAACTATGAAGATCTCGCCATTTTCGTCGTAGTAGCCGATGTCGTTCATGTGTAACCACCCTGCGAACGAAACAAAATGGAGAATTGTCACGTACGAGCTACGCTGTCAGCGGTCAACGCTTTTGAACTACGCTAAGATAGACCTTCCGAATCGATGGCCTTTGCGGTAGCTGTCTGATTCTTCCGATACCCGTTCATTTGCGCGGTCGTCTTCACGCAGATTTCTCCCTGTTCATTCGCACCCAACGTCCTCCCCGTTTCCGGACAAACTATCTTCACTTTGACACCTTCCCAGACGTAACCAACGCTGCCGGGTGTGCATCCCTTCAGTTGCTGAGTAAGACAGATGCCGGCGTCGGTCGACCCTGAAAAAACAGTTTCTTAACGTCTTCCCGATTTCGCGCGATTTACGTCACCGATGCATATACGATGCCTGTGTACCGTAGGTTTGCCAGATATTTATTCGCGGTAATTGTTCGATTAAACTCTTGTGCACTTCCTGACTGAAAGCCGATCCACCAAACACGATGGTTTTCAAGTCCGTCGACGCATAGTTTTCTGCCAGTTTGTGTTTGTAAATCTTTCTTAGCTGGTTGCTGTCTACCAAATAGTACTCCACCTGCGGATACAAGCAAACTTTCCGTCACTTCCTCGAATCTCGTATTCGTCTGCGTTTCCTAAGATTTTGCCGTTATCCACCTTGTATTTCTTGATTATGTCGTAGTAATAGTTGGCGTCTTTCTCATCCACGGTCACGATTCTCGTCGAGTTGCAACGGATGCACTTCAACATGTAGATGAAGTAAGGAATCCAGCGAAAGGCAGTGGCGCATAGGCAAACTTTATGATGCTTGACGCTCCTCGTGTAGACTGGATGCAGCAACGTCCTCATCGACAGGTGAGATAACTCCGCTATTTTCGGCGTACCCGTTGATCCCGATGTACTGATCAATAGAGCTGGCGCTCTCGGATTGTCGATCCTCTCGCAACGGAAATTTTCTACCTCGTTCGTAGTTTGTTCCATCAAAATTTCATACAATGACTCTTCGTTGGGAATACCGTCTTCGAAAACGACTCTCTGTATATTCATATTCAACTCGGCTTGGGCGTTGCTGAAATCGTTCACGGCAAACCCGTGTATGAAGATTACCCGTGGCGTTATCAGTGATAGAAAATTACGGCAGACTCCTGCAAAGTATTTAGCGGTGATTGGAATCTGCGCGAGTCGAGACAGCTGTCAGGTTTGAAAACGAGAGCAAAGAGCAGAATTATTTACGAAGAGGCAACGTGTGGTGTTCGACGGCGCATACGGCACCGATGTACAAGCACGCCAAGAAAGGAACGTAGGCATCGAGGCAGGAAAAGGTGCACACTGCCACTGTATCTCCACGCTTGACACCTTGTTTTCTCAACCAAATCGCGCACCTCATGCTTTTATCCGCCATTTCCTCGTACGTAAGTTGCTTTCCCGTAGATGCCTCTATCTGAAATACAAATTGACGAACGTCAGTTGTTAGATGACGCACGGAAACGTTGAAAGGTATCGTACCTGTCCAATGAAATCTGGTTTACTCTTTAGCAGTTGTAGAACTATTTCTCCGGCGTTGAGAGTGCTTTCGGGAAATACCAATTCGTTGCCCACCAGCACCTTGTCCTTCACCTGGAACGTCCTTTGCTAAACGCGATAAACAGAATAGAAGTTTTAGAAATTTTAGAATTTCGTCCTAGCTTTCCTTCCACTTTCTTTCGCAATATTCCTTGTTACTGACTTGCATCATCTTCGGGTTCGTATTCGTTCTCGTCATTTTCGACTAGCTTTTCTCACGTATCAGCAACGGGAAATTTTTTAGACGATCTCGTATTTGTACCTTGTACCCCACGAATTGTCAATGACTCTGCTCGTCGAAACAGTTGATTTCGGCTATATAACAGTATACCGAGATAACATTTAATATCTCCAGTACCTCCAAATGTTTGCCTTTTTATCTCATTTCGTAAGAGTAGGTAGTAATCAATTGATAAACTACAATACATCGACGATCGATTCGAAATACGCGTTTCTCGATTTTGTAAATATTTAATTGTAATGTTTAATAACATTCATTCGCGTACTTTTTAATTAAGTATGCAAACAGAATGAAATGTTACTAAAATTACAAATTTGCATTGTATTCGGTACACGTTATTATCATTACGCTCATACGTTAACGGTAATGGCAAATTGGAAATTACTGCGTGGAACGTACCTTTGTAGCTATCAGTTTATTTTGAAATATCTAACAATATTGATAATATTTCTGATATTCGTTCTACGTTTTGCTAACTACGTAATATCACCCGAGGTAATACGCTGCAGAATACGTCGATATTTTCAAGATATTAAAAAAAAAATGGGGGAAAAATTGGAAGGAAACGTTTACGCGTTTGTTGGGAACACGAATGAGAAACGTCACTGACCGACTAGTCCTTCGAGACGGCGTGGAAAGGACTTGCCCTACAATTTTCAGAGGTCCTTATATATGCTTAATTTTTGGTGCGGCCAAGGTGGCCGTTGCCCCATAACGAATGTTCGGACTTTGTGCGCGGAATGAAAGTAGAAATGAGTAAGCTGTTTTGAACCTTGATGTTGGCCTGCGTTTATCAACTAGGTCATTTTAACGACTAAGTGTCAACGGATAGTTGGTCACCCAACGCGTATCTCTTTAACGAGATAAGATTGATTTGTGCGCAGAATAAAAGTCCGATGATATTTGCCAATCGAAATCACCGTACCTCCCTTGAATACGTATATACTTTCGGCGATTATCCGATAGAAAGATCGATTTAATTAGTGTCAGCGCGTCTCTTTTTCCGTTGGTTGCACGATAAAAGCGCAAGGACATCTCGCGAACGGTCCACGGGTCCGGCAGCTCTTGAAACAGTAGGAAAAAGGTGAACTTTCGCGACACGTTAATCCATTACGGTTGCCAGAATCTACGAATTTTGCTGACGTTGAGAAAGGTCTCACCGTTATCTCGAATTGCTGATAGTCAGGCGTATATTAAGGGATTACGCGATCGCAGGAGCGGCACGTCGATCTTTTCCCTTTCTCGTATAATTCGTATTAATTTTAGCGAAATTAAGCTTCTTTTCGCGCTAACGAATTTATTCGATCCCATTGGTAATTTGCACAAATGCTTCGGTATATCTGTAATTATCGGCGATGCAATCGGACAGTGCAAATAGTACGATACATCGGAGCGTTAACGATAATTCGCGTTATTGTTTAGGAAGTATCGGATTTATTTGTTGACTTATATGCAAACAGTGTATGTAAATCTATGGCAAATAATATAACGTGTTTTTCTTATTAAAATCGATGCGTCGTGGACGTTGTTTCGAAATGTCCTGTACCATAGATTTTCAGCAATTGGTCGACGTAAATTTTTCACTTATCGATACCGCGGTAAAAGTGGGTCGAAAGTATTAGTATTCTCATTGCTGTTATTATATTCGATATTATCGTGCGTCGAAAATATAACATTGTATCGAACGTTATCTATAATTTATTTATGTCATTATCTGTATGATAATGTGACTATATTATTCTATACATAACAACGTATATCTGCGAACGAGATTACTTCTAAAGATTATCGGGGCGAGTTTTAATTAAAATCACGCCGTTAATCTTTAGAAGATAAATGCGCGGTTGATCGGCAACAATACGAGCAACGTTTAATACGAAAGATTCGGGCGAAAGAAAAGTGCAAATAGGGAATAAAATTGCACGGTGATAATAGCGTAGATAAAAATTGATCGAAGGCAACGACGAGAGCAACCGTGAAACTCATTCGTCCGATTGCTGGAACCGAAGCAAACGTGCAAATCTAATCTGAAATCCATTTTTCGAGATTGATGCAATGCAAATCCAGCGAGAGACGGACGACGATTCGCGCAGCCGTTACAGGAGAAAAGCTCGATCGCATAACACTCGTACCGTGTGATATTTTTTCCTATGCTCGTAAAATATCACTGCCACCGTATCTTTTATCTGGAGTGGGGTGGTATCGTTTGAATCTGGGGAAAGCCAGATTTAACGATTATTTCCACGATGATTTTGCTGCGAGAAAGGAACGCGTGAAAAATACGGAGCGTGTGTATGGAAATTGGCCATAAACTTTCAACTTTCGTGTCCCGCGTACCGCTGCGAATCGCGTGATTAATATTTTCCCAAATACCTTTGAAAACGTCTAGATAACGCTGGTAAATCCGCTCCGCGTTATACGCGCGTGATTCTCGTTTTCTCGTTTACGCGTATTACCTACATCCAGTAGTTCCATATGTAAAGTGTCATCTGTCGCTTCGCGACACCGAGTCATTTGTCGGTTCAAGACTTTTTATCAAGATCTTCAATCGAATTTGAAATTCGTCGCTAAGATGCTTAGCTGGCTGTGTCATGAATTTCCAACGCGCTCGTAAAGAACAAGTTTCAGGAGGAAAGCTTCCAGCAAGTTAGACGTGACTCTTGTTGGCAGCGACATTGCGAGATTTCATATTTCTCACACCCGTGAGTGCACGCTCGTTTCTTGGATCTCTTATCTTCTCCATGCTCATACGTTAACGGTAATGGCAAATTGGAAATTACTGCGTGGAACGTACCTTTGTAGCTATCAGTTTATTTTGAAATATCTAACAATATTGATAATATTTCTGATATTCGTTCTACGTTTTGCTAACTACGTAATATCACCCGAGGTAATACGCTGCAGAATACGTCGATATTTTCAAGATATTAAAAAAAAAATGGGGGAAAAATTGGAAGGAAACGTTTACGCGTTTGTTGGGAACACGAATGAGAAACGTCACTGACCGACTAGTCCTTCGAGACGGCGTGGAAAGGACTTGCCCTACAATTTTCAGAGGTCCTTATATATGCTTAATTTTTGGTGCGGCCAAGGTGGCCGTTGCCCCATAACGAATGTTCGGACTTTGTGCGCGGAATGAAAGTAGAAATGAGTAAGCTGTTTTGAACCTTGATGTTGGCCTGCGTTTATCAACTAGGTCATTTTAACGACTAAGTGTCAACGGATAGTTGGTCACCCAACGCGTATCTCTTTAACGAGATAAGATTGATTTGTGCGCAGAATAAAAGTCCGATGATATTTGCCAATCGAAATCACCGTACCTCCCTTGAATACGTATATACTTTCGGCGATTATCCGATAGAAAGATCGATTTAATTAGTGTCAGCGCGTCTCTTTTTCCGTTGGTTGCACGATAAAAGCGCAAGGACATCTCGCGAACGGTCCACGGGTCCGGCAGCTCTTGAAACAGTAGGAAAAAGGTGAACTTTCGCGACACGTTAATCCATTACGGTTGCCAGAATCTACGAATTTTGCTGACGTTGAGAAAGGTCTCACCGTTATCTCGAATTGCTGATAGTCAGGCGTATATTAAGGGATTACGCGATCGCAGGAGCGGCACGTCGATCTTTTCCCTTTCTCGTATAATTCGTATTAATTTTAGCGAAATTAAGCTTCTTTTCGCGCTAACGAATTTATTCGATCCCATTGGTAATTTGCACAAATGCTTCGGTATATCTGTAATTATCGGCGATGCAATCGGACAGTGCAAATAGTACGATACATCGGAGCGTTAACGATAATTCGCGTTATTGTTTAGGAAGTATCGGATTTATTTGTTGACTTATATGCAAACAGTGTATGTAAATCTATGGCAAATAATATAACGTGTTTTTCTTATTAAAATCGATGCGTCGTGGACGTTGTTTCGAAATGTCCTGTACCATAGATTTTCAGCAATTGGTCGACGTAAATTTTTCACTTATCGATACCGCGGTAAAAGTGGGTCGAAAGTATTAGTATTCTCATTGCTGTTATTATATTCGATATTATCGTGCGTCGAAAATATAACATTGTATCGAACGTTATCTATAATTTATTTATGTCATTATCTGTATGATAATGTGACTATATTATTCTATACATAACAACGTATATCTGCGAACGAGATTACTTCTAAAGATTATCGGGGCGAGTTTTAATTAAAATCACGCCGTTAATCTTTAGAAGATAAATGCGCGGTTGATCGGCAACAATACGAGCAACGTTTAATACGAAAGATTCGGGCGAAAGAAAAGTGCAAATAGGGAATAAAATTGCACGGTGATAATAGCGTAGATAAAAATTGATCGAAGGCAACGACGAGAGCAACCGTGAAACTCATTCGTCCGATTGCTGGAACCGAAGCAAACGTGCAAATCTAATCTGAAATCCATTTTTCGAGATTGATGCAATGCAAATCCAGCGAGAGACGGACGACGATTCGCGCAGCCGTTACAGGAGAAAAGCTCGATCGCATAACACTCGTACCGTGTGATATTTTTTCCTATGCTCGTAAAATATCACTGCCACCGTATCTTTTATCTGGAGTGGGGTGGTATCGTTTGAATCTGGGGAAAGCCAGATTTAACGATTATTTCCACGATGATTTTGCTGCGAGAAAGGAACGCGTGAAAAATACGGAGCGTGTGTATGGAAATTGGCCATAAACTTTCAACTTTCGTGTCCCGCGTACCGCTGCGAATCGCGTGATTAATATTTTCCCAAATACCTTTGAAAACGTCTAGATAACGCTGGTAAATCCGCTCCGCGTTATACGCGCGTGATTCTCGTTTTCTCGTTTACGCGTATTACCTACATCCAGTAGTTCCATATGTAAAGTGTCATCTGTCGCTTCGCGACACCGAGTCATTTGTCGGTTCAAGACTTTTTATCAAGATCTTCAATCGAATTTGAAATTC